GCTCATACCCCTAGTGGTCTGCAAATGCGTTGCAAGGGCTAAAATAAAATATTTTATCTTTTATGTAGTAAAAAAAGAAAATGGGGCTGGGATCTGTTTTGCATTCTGAGGACCAAAATGAAAAATTAAACAAGCTTTTATCCACCAAAAAGTAATTTTTCCTTATTTGTTTGAGTTCACCTTCAGCTTTGATTTAAATCAAAACCAAGCAGAGGAACAGACTGGATATAGAGAACAGCCTGGTATCTTTTACACACTGAGCTATCAGAGCCCATCAAAGCAGCTCAGGTGCAACAAAGCAAAACCTATTAAGTCAGTCTGACTATATTTTTGTTCTGTATTTTGTTCCAAATTCATCAAGTCTAACTGTATTTATAAGGGAGTTACTCAGAGGAGCTCCAGTTTTATAAATACAGGTTTATAATATGATTTTATTTTGTATTTATTTAAATTCCTTACTAACTTTCAGGCAACGTACTAATGTTTTCTTTTTAGATGGAAAGCATAAAATGCCTAAGAATGAAATGCTCAAAATAAAAGATTAAGTAAAATAGTTTTCATTTAATAATCAGTTATTGTACATTCCACTTTTGGACAATCATCAATTCTTTTAACTGACAGGGGAACTCATGGTAAAACAAAATTCTCAAACACTGCTGTATATGACAGACCTATACAAATTAGTGGCTGACAAATAAGAGGTCCAAAAAAAATGATAATTTGAAAAGGTATTCAATGTGTATTTAAACCCTCTTAGTCCTAATTTAGGACCACCTTTCACTTCAGATACAGCAGCTTTAAGTTTTGTGAGTTATTTCCCTACAAGCTTTAACACATCTGCAGTCTACAATTTAATTTCCTCTGCATGATGATGCCACTGCTATATGTTTCTCATAGGAATGTTGTTGAAATCAGTTTTGCTGCTAAACATTTTCCACATGTTTAACAGCTTGTGGCAGACTTTCTTCTTATAAAAGCTTTTGTTGTTACTTCTCGATAGATCAACAGGTTTATGCACTGCATATCTAATAGTTATTATGTAGACAGACTTAGCCATATGTCTACAACTCTTGAGAGTTAGCATTTTTGGCTACTTTTCTGATTATTTTTTCCCCTTTTCCAGCTGGTTAGTTTGCACCATCCAAAATATGGCCTGAGGACCAATTAAGGACATTTGGATGATGTTTGCAACCACAGTTCAATGATGACATAAATCTGGTTTAACAAATAAGACAGCAGAATCATGTACACATGTACAATAGTCTTTTAAAGTTAAACTTTTTATGCTTCCAGGTCTAAGGAAATTACACACCGCATAGCAACAAGCCCATAAAGTTGTAAATATTGGCTGCAAAACAAAGTCTATAGGATTTATGAACCAGGATTTGGTTCCTGTTCAGTTATTTGATTACATATGGGAATGCTAATATCCAGTGACTTTATACATCTGGCTGAACAAATCAAGCGGGTCCAGTTTTGATTAAAATACACACACAAAAATCCAGAAACACATAACTAACCTAAAAGAAATATAGATTGCAGGATGATATTTAGTACCTAGTTTTGTTTTGCCTCTACCCCTATTTAAAGATCAAGATCTACTAAAATTTGACTAATTTGTCTCTTTCATTAAAATATTTGATGTTTTATTCAATTTTGAGCAGGTTAAAAATATTTTATGACTTTAAACTTGACTTCCAAAGCAGTTTTATGCTGATGGCCATGTCATAGTAGATTTGCAGCTGTGCCTAACCCCCTCCATTTTTGCAAGGTTTGAACTTGGCTCTATAAAATCTTTAAAACCTGAGATCCTGCTTTTAACCTCTCTAAATGTCATCTCTGCTATGCTCCTGGGTCTTTATAAGCCTATTTGTTTTCTAAAAAACCAGAAACAAATCATTTTTACAACTGGATCGACTCATTTATTACTTTTTGAAGTTAAGTTTATCTTAGTATTTCATGTAGGGGTGTTAGAGTAAATGTGAAAGATGTGAGATGTCAGTGGTACAAGAAAGAAGTTTGGAATTGTAACCTGACAACATATGAGCAATTTTCCAAGGCACTGAACACGGGATGCTTTCCATATCCTGATATATCCTGATGTATTTCCTACAGATAAAACGGCTGAGAATCGAAATAGAAAAACTACAATGGTTACATCAGCAGGAGTTATCTGAAATGAAGCACAATCTTGGTATGATCCTCATGAATTTGCTCCTAACAACCTAGTATGTTTTCTTTCTGCCTACAATGATAAAAAAGCTTTCCTGTTTTGTTCGGCCCTGCCTGTGTTCTCTGATTCAGAACTGACCATGGCAGAAATGAGACAGAGTCTGGAGCAGGAAAGAGAAAGACTGATGAACGAAGTGAAGAAGCAGATGGAGCAGGATAAGCAGCAGGCTGTGGATGAGACCAAGAAGAAACAGTGGTGTGCTAATTGCAGGAAAGAGGCCATCTTCTACTGCTGCTGGAACACCAGCTACTGTGATTACCCGTGTCAGCAAGCCCACTGGCCAGAGCACATGAAGTCCTGCACTCAGTCAGGTACCAGCATGCACCAGGGACAACAACATCAGGAAGCTACTGTTCCAGTCAGATGTTTACATAAAGGAGTATCTTAATAACTGCAGTTTTTAATAAAATAATTATGCTTTCTAAGTTGATTGATAACATCGCGAGCAACTTTAACTTTTTTTTTGTTTGTAGTTAATTTAAAATTTGCATAGATGTTCAGATACATGCATATGCTCCAATGAATTCAATTAAATTTAAAATATACTTTATTAATCCCAAAGGGAAATTAGATGAAAGGTTTTAAATTTCCCTGCATAGGGGCTAAAAGCTTTTTAAAGCCAGTATAATTCTTTTTGGATTTTTAACTACATTTCTTACTTCAAGGGGGCGAAGTTGTGAACTGGAGGGATCAGTTTTCACCTTAACTTCGTACATAATAAACATATTTATAGGGGAGGGAGGGATGGAGGGAGAGAAGGAAGGAAGGAAGGAAAGAGGGAAGAAGGGAAGGATGGATGGAGGGAAGGAGGAAAAGAAAGATGGAGGGAGGAAGAATGGAAAGATGGAATGAGGGAGGGAGCAAGGAAGAGAGGGGGGATTTGAAGGGAAGAAGCAAGGGTGGTAGGAAGGAATGGAGGAAGGATGGATTGATGGAAAGAAGGAATGGTTGAAGGGTGGATGGCAGGAAGGATAGAAGGAAGGAATGGAGGAAGAATGCCAAGAGGGAGGGAGGGGTCAGCGTTCACTTTAACTTCATACATAATAAACATATTTTCTATTGGAAGGAAGGAAGGAAGGAAGGAAGGAAGGAAGGAAGGAAGGAAGGAAGGAAGGAAGGAAGGAAGGAAGGAAGGAAGGAAGGAAGGAAGGAAGGAAGGAAGGAAAAAGGGCAATAGAATAAAATAAAAATTTCGGTCTTAGCCCACTGATGAGTTCTGCTGTTTACAGAAGATGCTGTGGGCACCCCATAAGGCCTCCCGAGGGCCCCTTGGTGCCAACGGGCGCCACGTAGATGACCCCTGCTATAATGGTTTACAGTAACTTGAAGCAGAGGTGTTTTTAGAATGTGAATACATCTGGTGCTTTGCCTTGAATGAGCTGGATATTAAAGCACCAAGAGCATAGTTTAGAAATTTTAAATGAAAAACATGTTGCATGTTTTCATGTGGGTCAAAGAAGGTTGTTCTTATAGTACAAGAACTTAGGCTTCCTCATCGTCTCACAACTGGGGGTCTTTCCTTATTCAGATCTTATGTACTACCAAGTTTTCATCATCGTCTATGATCCTCCTTTCTGATATCATAAAAAATCACTACAACATTTCGACAGAAATCAAACCCTAACTAGATTGGGGTATCTTTTTTTTTTTTTTTTTTTTTTTTTTAAGATCTCATGAAATTTTGAAACTTGGCTGAGCACCAAATTACGTTTAATCTCTGAAACATGCTGCTCTTTAATTATCTCTTAATGACTATAGCTTTGTTAAAAGTTATTATTATTTCTTTAGGTCTATGGTGGTTCATACATATCTAACCTTTTAAATATTCCAGGGGGACAAAGTACATCAATATTGAATGAATGAATGAGTACAACACCCTTTAAACTGTTTCAACCAAAATTCTGACTTGTGTTGTTTTTTTAGCAACTGCCCCACAACAGGAACCTGAGGGTGAGCCAGCAGCAGACGTCCCAAACAAAGCTGCCGGCCAAACGAACAGTGGCCCCAATCCCCTCAGAGATGCCCCAGTGTCTGCCCCATCAGAAAAAGACTGTGACACAGAGAAAAGTACTGAAAATCCTGCTGTGACTTTGTCATAACCCAGTGTAAATGTAAACTATTGTGTGTTTTAGTACTATTACTGTATATTGTGTTTGATATGTTCTTTGTGGGATTCTGTTTCAAAATAAGAAGTCAGTTCACTGTAATTTTTGTTTCTTCTACTTTTCCATGCTCATATATTGTCCTCTGTGAACAATGTGCCATTGCAATAGTGAGATTAGATAACAGTAATCATTATATATGGACAGATAAACAATTCTTGCATGCCCGTGGTACTGCGTGTTGCTCTATACATGTAGCCGTTAGTATAAATGGTCGAAAGCATGCATGGATTTATAAACACATAAATACACACATTACTCAAAGAAAAATATTTATACTGTTGTAAAATACTACCTATGCTAATGGACCTTAATGGATCTTAAATGAAGATTAAGAGACTTTTGGCTGAGATGCCGGTAAAATACTTTTTTGCATTCTTTTTTTTCCAGTTATTTGTTGTGTAATTTAAAAGTATATATAAAAACTTTTTAAAACTGAGTATACTGGGATATATACAATTAATGTACGATGTTCCTTGTTGCCTTTTTAAATAGCAATTCTACATTCAAGTAGAATGTCTCCATATAATTTCGGTTCAGTAAAAGGTGGTTCGTTTGTGCAAAATAAAAAAGCTGAACTTTCTGAGTCAACCCAGTTCACCTCCAGACCAGCGGGGGCGCTGTAACAAGAGTACCGTTTAATGTAAACCGTCAGCCATCTGCCGCAGTTAGCAGAAGATCCAGCGGGATTGGAAAATGGAGGATTGAGAATTGAGAGCGTATCGCGGCCTTTATAAGAAGTTGGTGGGTACATGTAAAACATTTCAGCCTCATGTGAAAGAATATTTAGCGTTTATAGAGATTCATCAAATGTTGCCGGATGCAACAATACAGTTTGAAAAAACAGACACTGAACAACGGGTTTCGGACGATAGCCAAATCAGTTAAGCTTTTCAAAATACCTGCGTCATTGATACCCTAAATGTATCCGACTGGACAGAGTGAGCATATTTATTATAGTGATGGTGTCTAGCTGTCGATGTTGAGCTGTATCGTCCATTAAAAGAGTCCGTTGTGTTATAGGATTAAAACGTATTAGCTAGGTTAGCCTAGCTTGCTGCCTGCGAATGCACGCTCTGGGGTGTTCGGCACCACGTTGGTAGACCAAACCATGAAGTCTAACCAAAGAAAATATGCCAATACACCCTGTTGTGATAAAAAAAAATAGTTATGCGATCTTTGTTTTTTTATTTGAATAATTTGTAGCGTCTGTGACGGCGTGGTACTGATTATATTAAACTAGCGGCACAAGATGGTTTGGCGGATTGTCGTTTTGCGGCCATCGTTGTATAATGCGATTGCAAAGCGACGTACGCTCCTTGTATAACGTTTTACTTTTCGATTATCGAAAAATATTATATTAATAAACCGGTATTTATCGTACTGATGTTATTATGAAGAGTTAATACTGCGCTCATGTGGAAGGCCGTGTTCAGCCCCCGTTTGGATTGCGCTTAAAAACTGCTGATCGTTTGCTTCAGTCAACAGTTAGCTGTCATCACCCAGGGTACTTTAAACCGACGGAGGGGATTAGATGTGGGGAAAAAGGCATCATTTTTGCGTGACATTTATTTATATTTTGCTCATGAGCCCCTCCCATTTTACGTACCAACCGTTTGTCCTCTCGTTCACGCGGCCAGGAGTCGTGACCGATAGCCTTGCTACAGCGCTACGTTAGCTACAGCTAATGAGAACGACCTATTGATATATTGCATGACTGTTCTAAGACAATGTATGCTAATGTTTCCATTTATTAACCTGTAATTGTGCATTTAATTGGATTTGGTAAATTGTTCACTCTTATATTTCCAAACTGTTCCTATTATCCAGATGTTTTGACTTTAGACATAGATATACGCGTCTTATTTTCTCTCTCCGCCCAAGTTTATATGAGCACCTGAGATTTGCTGTCTATGTTGGGATAACTTCTTCTAAATCCCCTTTCCTTTCTTTTCCTTGTTAGAACCTGCATCCCTCTTCTGATAATTGATCTGATGACATTAAGTTTGACAAGTCAACACTACTGAAGTGCAGGTATGGATAACAACAAAGAGTGATGTCTTTGTTTTTAAAGGCTTTCTTATAAGAACAGTGTGTTTTTTTTCAGTGTTTTTTTTTTTTTTTTCTCACAGTGCAGTGCAGAGTAAACGGTTATGATTAAGATTTACATTTGGTACCGACAACAGTAATTTGTGTAATGTAGGGCAAGCTGACAGAATTGAAAAACTCCTGGATTTAACATTAGTATTTAGCCTATTTTAAAACTAAAAGATCAATGTTTAAGATATAAGTGATCTTTAAATTTTTTCGAGGGGAAGTCCACAGAATCTGTGCAGGGTTAAAGGGCTGGTAATACTCCCACAGCAGTGTGTTGCAGGTATGATCCAGATATTTTTGATTTATGCCCAATATTGAAGCGTGGTCTGCACTTTGTTATTCCACGCCACAACGCAAGGGGGACAATCACAAACTAGCTGTGGGTCTAGATACAGCCGAGGCAGTGAGCAAGTGGAAAAACGCAAGAGGCAACGAAGGGACATGAGGGTGAGAAAGCAGGGATCTAGGTGGAAAAAGGGTCCCAGCGTTCTCCCGCATCTCGCTCTTCTAGCTGGTCCAACTTCACGAGTCATTTTACACAATGGCGCTTATACAAACAAAACAAGCCGGTAAGGTACAGGTGCTGGTCATAAAATTAGAATATCATGAAAAAGTAGATTGATTTCAGTAATTCCATTTAAAAAGTGAAACTTGTATATTATATTCATACATTACATACAAACTCATATATTTCAGATGTTTATTTTGTTTAATTTTGATGATTACAAATGACAACAAATGAAAATCTCAAATTCATCATATCAGAAAATTAGAATATTGTGAAAAGGTTCAAAATTGATGGCCCCTGGTGCCACACTCTAATCAGCTAATTAACTCAAACCACCTGCAAAAGCCTTTAAATGGTCTTTCAGTCTAGTTCTATAGGCTACACAATCATGGGGAAGACTGCTGACTTGACAGTTGTCCAAAAGACGACCATCGACACCTTGCACAAGGAGGGCAAGACACAAAAGGTCATCGCTAAAGAGGCTGGCTGTTCACAGAGCTCAGTGTCCAAGCACATTAATAGAGAGGCGAAGGGAAGGAAAAGATGTGGTCGAAAAAAGTGTACAAGCAAGAGAGATAACCGCACCCTGGAGAGGATTGTGAAACAAAACCCATTCAAAAATGTGGGGGAGATTCACAAAGAGCGGACTGCAGCTGGAGTGAGTGCTTCAAGAACCACCACACACAGACGTATGAAAGACATGGGTTTCTGCTGTCGCATTCCTTGTGTCAAGCCACTCTTGAACCACAGACAGCGTCAGAAGCGTCTTGCCTGGGCTAAAGAGAAACAGGACTGGACTGCTGGTGAGTGGTCCAAAGTCATGTTCTCTGATGAAAGTAAATTTTGCATTTCCTTTGGAAATCAAGGTCCCAGAGTCTGGAGGAAAAGAAGAGAGGCACTTCATCCACGTTGCTTGAAGTCCAGTGTAAAGTTTCCACAGTCAGTGATGGTTTGGGGTGCCATGTCATCTGCTGGTGTTGGTCCATTGTGTTTTCTGAGGTCCAGGGTCAACGCAGCCACATACCAGGAAGTTTTAGAGCACTTCATGCTTCCTGCAGCTGACCAACTTTTTGGAGATGCAGATTTCATTTTCCAACAGGACTTGGCACCTGCACACAGTGCCAAAGCTACCAGTACCTGGTTGAAGGACCATGGTATCCCTGTTCTTAATTGGCCAGCAAACTCTCCTGACCTTAACCCCATAGAAAATCTATGGGGTATTGTGAAGAAGAAGGTGCAATACACCAGACCCAACAATTCAGAAGAGCTAAAAGCCACTATTAGAGCAACCTGGGCTATCATAACACCTGAGCAGTGCCACAGACTGATCGACTCCATGCCACGCCGCATTGCTGCAGTAATACAGGCCAAAGGAGGCCCAACTAAATACTGAGTGCTGTACATGCTCATACTTTTCATGTTCATACTTTTCAGTTGGCCAACATTTCTATAAATCCTTTGTTTTTATTGGTCTTCAGTAATATTCTAATTTTCTGATATGATGAATTTGAGATTTTCATTTGTTGTCATTTGTAATCATCAAAATTAAACAAAATAAACATCTGAAATATATGAGTTTGTATGTAATGTATGAATATAATATACAAGTTTCACTTTTTAAATGGAATTACTGAAATCAATCTATTTTTTCATGATATTCTAATTTTATGACCAGCACCTGTAAGAAGCAGGAAATATGCATAGTGTAGAGCACATGTAGATTTGACCAATCAGAGATTTCTGAGCTTTAACCAGCCTTAAGTCTGGTTTTTGCTTACCCCTCCAAAATAGTAATTGACCGCAGATAGGAGTTCTCTGATTACGCATGACACAGCCAGTTCGTGCTTGCCCGTCTTGCATTGTGGCGTGGAATAACTTAGTGCAAAGCACGCTTCAATATTGGGCATTGATCAAAAATATCTGAATCATACCTGTGACAAACTGCTGCGGGAATATACACAGCTGTTTAGTTTTCTCACTTATTAAGAATAAATCAATGAAAGAAGTATTTCAGTAATTGTCATATTTTCATTCTGAGATTTTGCTCTGGATGTCGTTGAAACAAGCTCCCTCATGTTCTTTGTCTTTTAGATTAGGTGAAATATAATTCAATCAATATTTTGTCAAGTTGTCTTTCTTTTAAAATGCAATTGAATCAGTGCCTTTAATGTCATAGTTCATTGGAATGATTCTTTGTCATTGCTTTTGCAGGCTATCAAAAATTGGCTAATGCACAAAAGCTGCTTTTCCAAATGAGTTTGAAGATGAAGCTAAAGAGTTGCTAAAGCAGCCAGCTGCACCTTTAAAGGCCCAAACCTAAAGTGAAGAGGATTTGGAGTTTCTGTTGGTTTTAACAGAGCAAAATGCCAGTGGAGACGACCGACAGTCCTGAAAACCGCTGTCCTGTACGGCGCAGTGGCAGGCAGCCCAAGCGAACGGACAAACTAGAGGAGTTCCTCATGACTGCCAAAAGGGGCTCCAGAAAAAGTGCTCCTCCTAGTGTTGAAAGTGGTGATCCCCCTTCCCAAACCCCAACAGATGCAGAAACGGCATCTGAAGCTAGTTTTGATGGAAATGCGGACTCCAAGATAGTAGAGGACAAAGCAGATTCTCCAGAGAGGAGGACACGAAGTAGTGCAAAGAAACAGGTGCAGAAGAAAACTCAAGGAGGCAGACAGACGAGATCATCTGCAGGGAGAGTAATGGTTAAAGAAGAGGGGAGCTCTGAGAATGAGGATGATGGGAAAGATGATAAGAGTGGTCAATCACAAGATGGCAGCCAGGGGATGGAAGAAAGCAAACCGGATCCTGCCTCTAAGGCTATAGAGAGCATCAAGGCAGCAGAGGACTCTGAGAAGACGGTTCCCCAAGAGACCAATGTAGGGGGGGCTAAAAGTGAGACAGAGAAGGAGACGGATGAAGAAGACACTGAGAAGTCTGAAGTGATGACTCGCAAACCAGTCAGGACCTATGTCAACAAGAAAAGGGTTTCTCAGAAGAGCCCTGTGGCAGCCAAACCGCCACCTGTAAGCAGAAATACTGTACCTGCTAAGAAGGAAGCAAAACCCAAAGCTGTTGGAAAAATTAGTAAACAAGAGACAACGGAGGAGGAGGACGACGATGATGAATCCTTCACTTCATCATCTTCATCTTCGTCCTCATCGTCAAATGAGTCCGACGACGGAGGCTACGACCCCAACGCACTATACTGTATCTGTCGCCAGAAACACAACAAACGGTTTGTTTCTCTCATTAGATGGTTTCTTTTACTCGCAGCTTGTTCGGTGTCTAGAAAAGAAGTAGCCTAAGTCTTGATCATCTTGTGTTTTGGGGGTTACATTGAGAAACAAATGTTTTTATTGAGACTTTATCTGCAGGTCCAACACAAAAGTAGCTCTTAGTTTGCCAACAAATTTGATAGATAAAAAAAAATACCTCAAAAATAAATGTATAAATTCAAAGTAGACGTATACCAAAAACCAATCAAACATATATTAAGTTATAACACCAGTATATTTATATGAACGCCAACAACAAAAAAACATTATAATAATATAATAACACGTTACAGAAACAAAATATAATTTCATGTACAGGTTTAGTTTTTGTACATAAATCTTGCCTGTCTGAGGCTTTGTGAAGGTAAATGTGTATTTTGCATTGTCATATATTGTCACAAACCTAAAAAAATTATGTTTAATAATGGAGAAGATATTACTCAGCTTTATATTTTTTTTTATTATATTAAAACATTTTTTTTTCTGATAATGTGTTTATTTATGAGCAACTATGCAAATTAACAAACGTCTAGAAAGAGTACACTATATTATATCATTTTCCATGTCAATCTCAGATTGTTCTTCTTTGCCTTTTCTAAAAAGTGCTTTAAAGCCTTCCTACCCGTCTTTATCCATGCTGGGTCAGATCTTGACGATTGAAAAGGGAGGCAGGGAAGGCAGAATAAAGCTACATGCTGCTTGCCAAGCCTTCTTGCTAGACCAGGTCCTGGAAAAGGACGTTTCTTGCACCACGTCTCTCTCTTTCTCTCCAATGCGTCTCCAACTCCCGCGACTCGAGTTGTCAATCAACCATCTGCTCTGTGACGGGAGGTAGTGAGCAAACACACTTCCTGTCAGCTCAGGGCGCTGCTCTCCTGTGCCCAGAGCTCTCCTATACCTTTGTATTGCAGAGGAGCTACTGCGCATTTACGAAAATACATCACTAATCCGATGAAAAATGGAGTGACACTTTACTAGCCATTAAAGATTAAATATTTATCTTGCACATCTAAAAAAAAAAAATATATATATATATATATAAATATATATATAAAGCTATATTTCGAAATATTTTAAATTTTAATAAAAAATTTAATTATATTTAAAAAAAAAGTTTTTTCTTAATCAGGGTCATTGGGTGTGCGCCATCTATTGGCCAGCCGCCACTGTTGCTATTTGCATGCAGGCATCTGGAAGCAGGCACTATTTGGGATTACCCATTCCAAGTTTTAAGTCTTTCGCTGTTTTTATTTTTTTGTTGCTGTTTTTTAGCTTCCTTCATCTCCACTGCCTTTTCTGAATAAAATGGTCCCTACATCAACCATGTTTAATCAGGGTTGGTGTGTGTTATAGACAGTGTTTTAGTATTATTTTTTTTTCCCACTGCAATCATTGTTTGTTTGCGTGTCCTCTGACCAGAGTGCTTTTCTTCCATGTCTACTGCTGTCCACATGACTTGTGTTAAATTGCAAACAGGAATTCTTATGGCTTCCTAAACAAGGGCCTCTCTCTTGACTTCCTTTCATAAAAAGGACAGATTTAGTGTCACTAATGTCCCTCTGTTTTCAGATGATGGGTTAAATATTTGTTCAGAAGAAAGCTGAAATTTAGTATATTTCCCTTTTAATTTCTAAGTGTTGGCTCTTTTGGTGTGGTTCTGTTTGCATGCTTTCAGAGCAGTTGGATTTATGTTGAAAGTATCACTGACATTGGGTTTCCAGGCTAAATAGGAAATGTCCTCTAGTTTTATTTAGATATGCTACGTCATGTTGGTCAAACACAAAATCCCATTAAACATGGTAGGTGTAACTGAAGATGTGAGAAACCAGTGAATCTGTGTGTTTGTGCAGCACTACATTTCTCAATGCTTCTGTTAGCTAATCTTCATGTTCACTTTAGTGAAGATAAGGCAAAAAAATCACCTTTGTTCTGCCATTTGTAGCGTTGTGAGATTCTGGTCTGTTTTATGTACGATGCTCCACAGGTTTATGATCTGCTGTGATCGCTGTGAAGAATGGTTCCATGGAGACTGCGTGGGCATTACCGAGGCCCGCGGACGTCTGATGGAGAGGAACGGAGAGGACTACATCTGCCCCAACTGCACAGCAAAGAAGAACCAAGTGGTCAGACCTGCCACATCTATCCTCCCTACGAGCACAGAGATGGCAAAACCCCGAGCCGACGCTGCTTCTCTGATTATTGCTCCAGCTGCTGCCTCCTCCTCTGTGGAGAAAGGCCCAGGCAGCGGGGCAGGTTTAAATCCGTCAGCTGTTCAGCCTGTGGCGCCCCCTCCGCCTTCCTCAGCAAGCGGGGCAGAAGAGAGAGCAGCTGAAGATCAGGGCATCAAAGGCAGGATCGAGAAGGCTACTAATCCATCTGGAAAGAAGAAGATAAAAATCTTCCAGCCGGTAGGTGACTGCTGCTGGAAACATCTGTGTCACTGATTGTTGCTTAATGTCATGAGAGCCAACTAAAGAAATTCAACAAAATCTTTTATTGTAAAAATAGTTACCCAGATGTTGTCTTTGATATGTTTGTAGGCACATTTACTCACTGTTTGCACCAATTAAAGGCTATCATTTAGATTTTAAGCTTAGGTCAAAAAAATGGGGTGATATGTTGTCTGTTAATTTAATTCCACACTGATCTGAAGCAGGCTATTCATCAACCGGCTGAGCCGAAACCAGACAAAAACGCTGCGTCAGCTGGGGAGCCGAAGGTCGCATCCGCAGCAGAGCAGAAAGCTCCACCAGAACCAGAGCAGAGGGTTGAAACTACGGTTGAAGTGAACACCTCTCCAGTTGTGGAGGTGGCTGAGGAGAAGGCAGAAGATGACTCCTCCCTCCCTAAATGCATTGGTCCTGGCTGCGACAGAATCGCCCAGCCTGACTCTGTGTACTGTGGGAACGACTGCATCTTGAAACACGCCGCAGCCGCCATGAAATCCATCACTGATGTCAAAGAACCCAAGCAGAAGGACAAGCCCAAGCCTCAGAAAAACAAGGCTGCAGCAAAGGTAACCTGGACCACCAGAAATGGTTTCCCTAAAAGCACCTTTATGATGTCTAATAAGAGTTAAAGAGAAGAAACCTTCCTTAGAAGCTGTGAATAACTCCAGATTATGTGATATTAAATCTTTGTGTCAGAGAAATGGATGTTTTATCTTAGCATCAATTAATACTTTGATTGTTTGATCTATTAAAATCCAGGACTTGAATGTAATTTAAATTCTACCTTCATAGATTTATTCTCACATCCACAGTTCAATCTCAGAAGGAGGAAACGGGTTCTAGGCTGTGTCAAGTCTGCTTATTGTGCTCATTCTGTAGTAGTTTTTAACCATACTCTAAGATAAGTAAATGAGGATTTACTGTTTAACTGAGACATCATAGCAATATCTTCAGAATATGAAGATGTTTGCTCTGCATCACAAAACTCATCTTTTGGGAACCATTGAAAGTATAATAAAATTAACCATCCCTTGCTTTTGTATGTTAAATCTTTGGAAAGCAGCCTGCAGTATTTCTTCTATTAAAAGAACTGATTGGATGCCCTATTTGCTAGGCTAGGGAATGGGTGCCATGCACACAGATTGAGATTTGGCCTATTTGGATGGACTATCATTGCCTTTCCTGCCTGCAGAGGATGTAGCTTTCTGATGGCTGGGGATACTAAAGCTCACAGAGATTATAAAAGCCAGAATACAACGGGTCAGCCATAAGACCATCATCTAACTATATTCACCAACTGTTCTATCATTTAAATGTTTTTGTTGTTGTTTTCTTATGATGTGGAACCCTCAAGTCTCATCTAAACAATTTTTTTGTGATTTCTATTGTGAGAAACAAGCTATTTTACTAATGCTGTTTTTCCTCAGATAAAGACTATTACAGGCCATCTTGTGATGGTATGAAATGTTAAAACTTGAAAGAAACCTAAAGGATTAATATGTATAACAATTTATTTCTTACATTTTTTAATGTTTTATGTCCAAACCATTGAGATCTCAATAGAATCGGATGTTGGTAAACCAGCTTTTGTTTGCCTGATCTTTTTTTTTTTTTTTTTTTTTTTTTTTTTTCGATTTGAACGTCAACATCAGCTGTTTTTCAGCTTCCACAAGAAGAAAAACTGGTTCATTCAGAAATACACTTGAATATGACATAAAGATGTTTTTACAGCATTCTAAACAGATGATGGAGCACTTCTGTTTGAACTTTTAACCTATTATTCACTAACCATTTTTTCCCCACAGCTTGTGAGCAGAGACATCCGCCGTGTTTTAATGCTCTGAAGCTCAGATTTTGTGTTCTTTAGTTTGTTTGAACCTTAAAACAAGACGATAATCCGTATAGAAGTTGCATACAACTTTTTTTTCCCTGCAAACCTGATTTTAACAGAAATTTGAACACTTATTATTTTTTTATTGATAATAATAATAATAATAATAAACAATTGAACTTCATTGATCTCACATTGGAGAAATGTACCCCTGCATTTAACCCATCCCCTTTGGAAGCAGTGGGCTGCCATTGTGTGGCACCTGGGGAACAGTGTGAGGTTAAGAGTTTTGCTCAGGAACCCGGAGTGGAGGCTGTGGGGATAGAACCGGATACCTGCAGCCCTTTCTGAACACAAGCTCACTGCTCCAACTCACTAGGCCAACATGTTTATATTGAAAGAACTTTGAACATGTGGGAAGTTTGGATTTTTGGTGCAATATAAGCCGGATGTATAAATGCACACTGGTATAGTGTTGAAAAAAGGACGCATCTAAAAGTGACAATGAAGTGGATAAACTAGTGAAGACCAAGGAAGATTTTATTTGAAGTACAGCAACATTTAAGTTAAACATTTGTTGTTAAATAAAAAGGAGAAGGAGATCTGATGCTTGTTAAAACACCTGGACAGCATAAAAAAGAGGATCCTTTCTATTTGGTTTTGGCTTTAAATATAATCTATATCCTGCTTATAATCCACCCCTTAAACTGTATTTTTAAGCAAAAATGGATTATAGTCCGTTTTTCTTCATATTTTGAATCTGAATTGATCTGGTCCATCATGCAGTGTTTACAAATGCGGCTGGCAGGGTCAAACGGGGGCCGCCCAGCAATCCTTTAAACGTGTCTCAACTTAAACACTGAGGGGGTAATCAAGTCAGTCTATTTGGCAGGACCCAATTAGTAACACAGTTAAACCATATTACTAGTTTTAGGTTGTTCTATCATCGGATGAGTAGAAAATATTCTTCATGGATTTTTAGTAAATTTTTCCAGGTTATCATGACTACCACATGATAATGATAAAGGTGCTTCTTCCTTTGGTCCAGCAGAGACTTAATCCTACCAACACCATGCTCTCTCCCTTAACTCTTAACATGTCTAGTAAAACTGTGATACCAGCTTAAATGTAATTTATAACGTTCCAAGCCGGATTCTCTCCACTCAGATTTTAATACCGTTTTTCAGCCGTATTTAATCAATACGGCTGCTTTTTTTTTGTTGAACTTTGTCAGATTTGCTGGAATAAACAATTTATTTTTGTAGGCTGTATCGCATTAAACCTGCAGCACAAATGGTACTGAATGATTTCTATTTGCTGTGCCATTTCAAGCCAGAGAGAGAAATGTTAATTCTATTATCAGTGTTTTTGAAAACATTTCTTTATTGAGTCCACCGGAGCAACTTTTGTCACATTGCTGAAGAAAAGGTCTGAATTAAACTTGTAAAAAGTTTTGTGCAGCTGATCTGTAAGACCAGATAAATGTATCATATTTTTTGAATGAAATGTATAAATGAATATAAGCAACTCTCCGACTCAACGAAACTTATGAACACGTTTTTGTCCTCGTCTTTCTAGAAGCCTGGAGGCGGTGGAAAGGCGCAGAAGAAGACCCAGAGGGTGTCAGACAGTAGCAGCGACGAAGACTTCAGTCCGGATCCAGATGAGGATGACGAAGACCAATACGCTGAGGAACACCCGCCGCCGCCGTCCACCGCTTCCTGGTCCAGTGACCATAATTACATTGCAGTAACACCAGAAAAGACTACACCCATATCACCAACAGTGTTAAACAAAAAGTGTATGTATCTCCTTGAAGGTCTAGTCCTGCTGTTTAAGCTGCATTGTTGTTTTTCTGGTATTTGTGTGGTTCCTGTTATGCTTACCTCAAGTGGAGAGAATCGGGTTTATCTAAGAGAGAACATCATGAACTGATCTGTGCAAAGAAATCTGATCTAATTTATTTATTGCATAATGAATGTTTTGCAGCAGGTAAGTAAGAAGTTAAAGTGACTACTGTTAAAAGGGACGTATAACGACAAACTGCACTTATATTTGTTGACTCAGGAGGAGCGCACTGAAGCCTGAAACTGGCAGCATTAAATTAAAATCTGAAATGCCTTATTTATAATAAATAAATAGAATATTAGCTTGAACTCTGAGCTTTCTACCCCGTGAGAGTACAATAATCACTCTAGCATCTTGGCTTATAATAACCACTTCAGAAATATTTGGGAGACACTAAAGGGGGGGAATGTTTTGGGCTTTTTCATTTATTTTTTAATGGGATAATTAGTTTGTCACTCTTGGCTTCCTTTAAGAAGTCTCAACGCCTCCCACAGCTGTGCCTCCTCCTGCAGGTAGGTCGGCGCTTCTGCAAATGGCTCATGTTGAGCTGGCGCTATTAGCAGTTAAACATCAACGTTTCTGCCCTTATTGTTTGGGGTTCTAAGATGTTTGAAGTTGTTGATTCATATTGAATATGGTACACCACTTTTCTTAAGTGACTGGCTTTAAAATAAAAGGTGATAAACTGATTTTTGGATGCCTCCATTGATTTTGAGCACTGTTGGCTTGCTTTTGGATGTCTTGACTGGTTCAGCTGAAGCAAAAGAAGTTTATATAAAAGTAAAAGTCTCCACCCACTGTTTATGGAAGAACGCAAGACTGAGAAGCACAGAGGGGGGAAAAGAGCAGCTTCTGTGAAGACAAGATCCTGGAGATAAGTCAAGATCTGCCAATTTCACAAGGGATTGGAAGACTGAAGAGGACACAAGGAGGAAAAAGCTGGCTTCAACAGTCTCCTAGATATTTCTGGAATGGATTTGATGCATGTAAAAGAGAACATGAGATAAGCTCTTACTGAAAACTTCCCTAAAGGCATTAACTGGATGGAGTATGCAGTCAGGGTTACATAAGTATATGCTGTCAGATTAGGAAAGCAGTTTGTTCAGCTGTTTTTGGGCCACAGGGATAAAGTAGCTCATTGGATTGTTCCCTAAATTTACATAATTTTATATCCAGATACAATGTTGGTGGTTTTGTCTGTTTTCTAGATTAGACATATACTACTAGGAGGTTAAAATCTAAGCTAGTGCTAGTTTGAACTCTACTTAAATGAAAGTTTGAGAAATGTCAGTCAAAGTGAGCAGATAAGGGTTTTGTTTTCTACACAATGTGGTCCTTTAAGAAGCTAACCTAATTTAGATGTGCCATGCTCTAGACACTGGTTATAAGTGGCTCAGCTATTAAAAAAAAAATCTTTAAAATTAAGGTTAACTATTCTTAAATTATCAATCCAGTTGTTTAATGAATGTGTTGAACCCTTGCCTATCCACTCATAAATATCACATTGAATGTTATTTAGATGTTTCTGCTAATAAGTACACAGACAGACTTGTTTTTCACATATTCTGTCTGGGTTAAAGAAGTTTGGATAAAGAACACATTTCGTTAATTTTTTTTTCCAATTTATATATCCATTTCAGATTTTTTGTTTAATTTTATTTTAAAGCTGGTTGGCTTATCCAGCGGGCGTTTACTTCAGCAGCCATTAATAAAATGTTTGGGGTTTTTTTCGTGCGTGTGTTTGTCAAGATTTTAAAGATGTTGTAAGCATTGGACTTATGGCTTTCTGTCAGTGACTGATATACTGGTTTAAGATGATCTTGATTCATGTTTCAAGATCAGGTTGAGCCATTGGTTCACAGCTGCTGATCTAGTGAAGAGATTGTGCTGACTTTTTAAAAACATTGGGTTCTGTTCTTGGTCTGCAGCTCCCCCCAAAGAAGAGAAGAAGACAGAGAAGGAGCAAAGCCCACCTCCTGAGAAATCCAGCAAAGCATCTCCGACTCTACGCAAAGGAAAAAAGAAATCCCCTGCACAAAAAAACACTGCAGTCGCATCTAAGACCAAGAAGTCCTCTCCGCAAACTGGCAGCTCGAAAGTCTCCAAGAAACAGACGGCAGCCCCGACTAAAGCTGCTGAAAGTTGCAAGAAACCAGGCAAAGCCTCTGCTCCAGCCGCATCTCCGTTTTCTTCAGGTCCCATTCATGCCACAGGGGCTATCAGAGTCACCAAGTCTAACTTCACTATTCCTAAAAAGCAGCCTCAACAGAAAGACTCCACTTCTCAGAGTCAGCCAGAATCTTCACGAGCACAATCCTCTTCAGCGTCCTCAACTCCATCCAGCCACTCCTCATCTTCCCGGTCCTCCCATCCACATGTACCAACCTCTCACACTTCACCTGTGAGGCCACCAGCTAACAACCAGATGAGGCAGAACATCCGACGCTCACTCACTGACATTCTCTTCAAGAGGTGGGTACCTTAGATCCAGATTCTATTTCCTTTTTGTTTTTAATGCTGGGATGTTTTTCTTTGATGTTTGAGAATGTCTTTTTTTCCCCCCGTTAGGGTGAGTGACAGCGACGATCTAAAAATGACTGAAAGTGAGGTGGGAAGACTTGCATATTCCATTGAGAAGGAGATGTTCAACCTTTGCCTGAGTACTGACAGCAAGTACAAGAACAAATACCGGACCCTCATGTTTAACCTGAAGGACCCTAAAAACAAGGTGAGGCAACATGAACACACGCCTGGGTGGTAAGGATTCATTACATCTCTACAAGGTAACAGCTTCTGTTTTGTGTTGCTTAGCGAACGATGTGATTGTTGCAGGGTTTGTTCTACAAGGTGATTGGTAGACAGGTCACGCCTTTCAGACTGGTGAGACTAAGTGCTGAGGAGCTGCTCTCCAAGGAAATTACAGAGTGGAAAAAGCCTGAATCTGCTGAGGTAACAAGCGTCTCTATTTAAACTGCAAGATTATCTTCTTGACATCACAATATAGTCTAACAATTAACATTGTCATCACTTTAGCTTCTTTCACATTTTGACCTTTCTAATTTTTATGTAAAGATCAAACACAGGATGGTGCAAAGTTAAGATGTTTGTAAGCTGCTCCCATCACTTTGATGCTCCTTAGTAAATGTCATAACAGTAAATTTCCTTTAGTGGCCCAAAAGGCAGTGGCACTACCTTAAATACACCATTCTATTAGTAAAACAGAATGGTGGCTGCATTATGCTGTTGGGCTGTTTCATTTCAGCAGGACAAGGGAAGGCGGGTGGATATTAAATATAGGAATGTTATGGGGAAAACAATGAAAGTCCTAATTTTTGTTGATCTATGCTTTTATTTAATTGAAATATAGTTGTTGGATTATAAAGGGAGTCACACTATTCCTTTGCTGAATGAAAATATCGGCATTATGGCACATCTTTACATTTTTTATCCTCAGGGTCATTCTCGGACCCATTCCGGGCATTCCAGACATGGAAGTAGGCCGGACTCTGGCTCCCACAGCGTAGACATGGAGGATGCTCCCCCATCTGATGCAGATGTATGTATCTCTGCCACTGCGTCATCTTTCCGCTCTGGTTCTTCTGCAGTAAGTGGGGGAAAGCTTCTCTTCTGCATCTTTCCTGCATGGAGTTTTTGCATGCCAAAATCTGAAATGTAGATTTCAAACATTTGCTGCCTTTTGCAACTTCCTCCTTTGTTTTTACCTTTATCTGACACACTAAAGTCTCATGGTAGTGCATACAAATTTGAGAATTGTACATGCAAAGTTTGATGTGAGTCCTCCTTTGCCTCCTTAGGACCAAGATGAGGCAGTCTCCACTCCCTTGGCACCAGCCCAGCCGTCTGCTGAAGGGAACAGTGGCACCGGCATGGTCGATGTTTTCAGCAGCATGCTCAAAGACACAACTTCTGAACACAAAACTCATCTTTTTGACCTCAACTGTAAAATATGCACAGGTAAGAAAGGTTACAGTTTGTATACTGCCAATGTTATTTACATTTTTCATTGTCAGATTAATGCTTTAAAACGTTCCTTTTAGGACAAAAGGCAGAAGATGAACCTGCATCCAAAAAAGCCAGGCTTTCTAATAAGCCAGACATCAAGCCACCAAGACAAGAGTCAAGGTCATCAAGGTCTGGAGACCCACCTTCTGCCAGCCCAGCAACATACCCTCCCCTGGAACCATTAACATCCCACCCATCAGTCCCTTCATCCTACCCCTCCAACACTGGACCAGTTGCTCCTGAAACTCCACAGCTCTATCAGGAGGATCCAAGCGTCATGGCGCCTCCCGCTCAGACCCCTGTGCTCGTTAGTCCAGCCGTCTCTTCTGTCAGCATCTCTCGCAGAGACCCTCGCATGGCTCGACTTAGCTCTGCTGTGAGCGTGGCGCCGCTGGCCCTTGAGAAACCCACCAGTAACACAACAGACTCGATCCCAGTACCAGTTCCTGTTACTGCTTCTGTTGCTCCTGCAGTGGATATTAAAGTACCTCTGCCAATGCCTCCAGCTCCACCTTCAGCGGTGGCTGTAACCAAATCGTCTAAGAAAAGGTGGTGTATCTTTTGGATGATATTACCTCTCAGGAACAACAGAAAATATTGATCTGTGATCTTCTCTTAAAATTAACGTTAAACGCTGTCTAAAATGGAGTCTGTTTTGATTTTATAGCTCAGCTGAACCTCCTCCTGAGGGGGAAACGGCGATCTTCTTGCACGGCCAGGAGACTATATGGAAGGGATTTGTTAACATGCAGTCAGTCGCTAAGTTTGTGACCAAAGCTTATCTGGTTTCAGGCTCCTTTGAACACCTGAAAGAGGTATAATTCTCATATTTATATTAAGTAGATTTCATTTTACTCAAGTTCATCTAAACATTGGTTCTGTTTACCTTTGTCAACGGGGCGCAGGATTTACCTGACACCATCCATATCGGAGGCAGGATTTCTCCCACCACTGTTTGGGACTATGTTGGAAAGCTGAAAACTTCACTCTCTAAGGTTTGTTTTATGCAAGAATAAATGGGCCTTGAGCTGCGTTTTGATATTCACATATATTGCTTCAAATTCTGTTTTTGTTCTTTTCAGGAGCTGTGTCTGATCCGTTTCCAGCCAGCCACAGAGGAAGAGGAGGTTTCTTATGTCTCCCTCTTCTCTTACTTCAGTAGCAGAAGAAGATTTGGCGTGGTAGCTAACAACAACCGTCGCATCAAAGACCTTTATCTCATCCCACTGGCATCAAAGGACCCTTTACCCTCCAAACTATTACCGTTTGACGGGCCAGGTAAGCATTTAGAAGGGATTCTAGAAATACTGTTGATGTTACTTGGTGTTGTTTTGGTAATAGTAATTCCTGTGAATTTGTTTTTTGCTTTGTTTCTTTCAACATGTGGTGAGTATATATTTATGTTTCTGACTGGAATGAGAGCTTTTTTTTAACTGTAGAGGGTGCTCATGCTGCTTTTTGAATTTACCAACATGTTTGTATTATCTTCTGTATTCTCCTTTGTGTATATGAATTTGTGTAACACATTTTCAATAAAGATTTCCTTACAGATTGGTGCCTTATCATCCATTCTCAGTCTGTTGTTTCTAAAGATTTAACTCATATATGTGTTAAATACTTATCTGATGAATAAATTGCTTTAAATTGAGTCGTCAGTCAGTCTTTCTTTTAAGCTGCTGCCCTTGCGATGAGATGCTTCACTGCAGAGGAATAAAGATGTATTCAAAGGTTTCAGTCTAAACAAGCAGCAACTAAAGTTTTTTAGCAAGTGGTTAATTAAAAGGAATCCAATGAGTTTAACATCAAATTATTGTGAACCGTTTCAGAACAGATTTAAAATGATAACAAGCACCCTTTAAGAGGAATATAGGTGTTTGCATATGTGCATGTGTTATTAGTAATATAGACAATTCTATGCTGAGTTTGTCGCATCTAATGCAAGATGTGCAAAAGCCTTAGTTGCTTTGAAGAATAAAATTTCTCACAAATTTCAGATAGTTCACCCTTACTGAACTGTTCAGATGCTTCAACAGCAGAAGCAATACTACCTATTTTATTTAAGGCCTGAACTGCCGATTTCAATCAATTATTAAAAAAAAGAAAATGGTTGCTGTTGTGGTTGTAGATCTGAATCCAGCAGAAAAGGAAATTACTAAATGTACCTCTTTGCGCCTTTAAGTCTCATTACTTTTGATTATTGTTACTGAACATAATTATCGATGTGTAAACTTGTTTGATTTCCTTATAGACTAGGTTTGGTTAATATTGATGTGTTTTATTTAACTGGGTAAAAGAAGGGAAAATTGGCTGGTCCAGTCTCTGAATTAGTGTCTTTTATAAATTATAAAATTGTAGTACTCTGTATACTCTTTATCTATATTTGCACTACTCTATTGTGTACTGTATATCTCCATTGCAGTGAAAAGATCTACTCTTTGGTTCCTTTTTGTCTATAGAACTCTCGTTGCTCTCATTCCAGTCTTCCGTGTTTTAATATTGTTTGAGGTTTTTTGAGATGTATATATATATATATATATATTTTTTTTTTTTTTTTCAAGTTTATGACCTGATTGCTTTCTGTTTACATCTCAGGGCTTGAACCGGCTCGCCCCAACCTCCTCCTTGGATTGCTGATCTGTCAGAAGGACAGAAAGCGAGGTGGTGCACCAATTGAGACAGAGGAGAAACGCTCCAAGACTCAAACCAAAGACTCAGATGAACCTGGACTTCCAAAACCTGCCCCTGCAGTCAAATCAGATAGAAGCACGCGGCAGAGTCTTGAAATTCCCTTCAGCACAACTCCCCCAGGTTCGCCTCCATCCACCTCCTCTGAGACCCCTAGCAGCACGACAACTGCCCCGGTCTCTGTTCTCTCTTTGCTGTCGGCTATCAAAGCGCCAGACACCTCTGGCGCCCCAGGAAAGGATGCCGCATCCAGCTCTGCTCCTGCCTCTGTAGCAGCTGCATCACCTCTTCAGACAATTCTTAAGATGGTCTTCAAGAACAAAAAGCAGGATTCAGATGCTTCTAACTCTCCGTCTGACCAAACTGGAGAACTCCCTGCCACTGCTACAATGTTAGACCCCATTGTTCAGCAGTTTACCCAGAATCCAAAGGAGAAACCAGTTGAAGAGGATGAAGATGACAGGCCGTATGATCCAGAGGAAGAGTATGATCCCAGTCGGGTCTTTAATGAGACCAAGAAGCATACTAACGAGTTAATCAAACCTGAGATCGTTAAGAAGCCTGAGGCAGTAGCAACTGAAGCCGATGATGTAGAGTATGATCCTGAAGATGATTCGATTTTTGATGAAGTAAATTCTTTGAAACCAGAACAAGCAAAGCCTGTAACTGAAAATGCACCTGATGCAAAGACGATTCTGGAAAATCTCAAAAGAATTGGAGAACAAGCATTGCAGAAGCAGGCAGAACAGCAAACACTGTCAACAGAGACGGCTGCTCCAGCTTTGATTCTTCCAAACACTCACTTACTGCAACTTGGCAAAAAGGTAGAAGAACTAGTTAAGTCGTCATCAGTTGCTCCTCTGACTAACCAGAGAAAAGATTTGAGACAGAGCAGGGATCCTCATCAGGCTGTAGGCGATCAGACGCTGTTTGAACCTGAACATAAAGACACAGAGACAACTCCTCCTCTAACGGAGCCTTCTCCCTCGGCACCCCTGGCACAAGACCCACTACAGCCTAAAGTGGAAGAAAACATTGATGCTTCACAAGGTACAGAGACATCGCTACCACAGGATGAGGAAAAAGATGACATACTTCCCTTCATGAAGTCAGAAGATGAAGAGGTGTCGATTCCTTTACTAGGAGAGAAAGTGGATCACGATATGGAGGTCAGCTACATGAGTGATAGAAAAAACAAAGCTAAGGAAGAGATTAAAGAGGAAACTGAGATGGACAAATACAGCGTTTGGCCAAATGCTGCAAGTATTTTAAAAGTCAGTCAGGATTCTGAGTACATAGAAAGTGGTCAAGATGTGTCTTCTTCAAGGTATCACAGAGAGTCTGCAGATAACTCCACTAGAACCTCTGCCATCCCAGTACTTACTCAAAGCACTATATCTGATACTCACTCTCGTCACATGTCGCACCATCAAACAGTTGGAGGCTTTGATAATGAGTACCAACCTAGAACTGACATTCCCTCCCAGTCTAGCTATCCCCCTCCTCACTCCATGCAGGGTCAGAACCTGATAATGAGGCCTCCACCTCCGTCCATGCTTCCACGCATGCAGGGTCCTCCTGTGTCCGGTCCTCCTTCAATTCAGGGGCCTCCTCCAACTATCCACGGTCCACACCATAGTCATGCTCCCCCCCCCACACCAAGGTGATGGCAACCAGCAATATGGCCCACCTCCACCATCCTACCCTCCCTACCAGAACCAGTGGCTGAACACACAGCAACCGCCTCAGCAGCAGCAGCAGCAACCTCCTGGACCACCACTTCAGAATATCCTGCCACCAAGAGGACCACCCATGCCATTCCCTCCAGTTTCTCAAAGAGCCCCTCCTCCCCAAATGTTTGATCCCTCCATTCCCCCTCAGCACATGGGACTACAAGGCCCACCGCCAAACATTCCCCCACGGCCAAATTTTGATGGACCGAACAGCGTACAGCCACCAAGATTCACAAGTCCTCTTCCTTTCAATTTCCCTGCTAACAGGGGTCCTCCTCCACCTTTCTCAGGACCACCACCATCTACACTCTTTGATTCTAGGCCCCCTCATCCTACACTCTTTCCAAGCCCCATGCCTCCCCCCCCCTCTCAGCAATATGGTAAAGACACTCCCAATAAATCCTTTAATCCCAGTATGGACCAGAATCCAAATCCGCCCCAGTATTTTAAAGAGAGCCTGGGTCCTCCAGGACCCTCTGCTTACCGTGGAGCTCCACCTGAACAGTATGAGGAGAGGAGAGGAATGCCTTCTGGCAGGGAATTGAGTGGACCACTCTTCAAACCACATAACCAGTATGGCAGTTCTAGGCCACCATCTTCACCACTAGAGCGTCGACCTTTTGATGAATCCAGAGGACCCCCAGCTCAGGAGAATAGGCCCCAACTTTCCCACATTTCAGAACGATACCGTTTTGATTGGCAATCTGATGAGCCTAGACCTGTTCGCCATGGTATGCCAATGCTATTACCTCCTTCAGAAGGATCCTATGGCCCTCCTGGTCGCCATGGAGCCCAAAGTCCAGACCTACAGAGAGAGGACCAGTGGCGGCGTCTTTCTCCTGATAGGAGGAGAAGCAGCACCACCCACGAGGATTTGGAAGCTCGCAGCGGAGAACGTGGAGAGCGTTTGAGCCGCTTTGAAGTACCACACAGAGAACTTGGTTCTGGCTCACAGTCCTTAGACGATAGACAGAGAGAGCTTTCTGAAGACTGCAGGAGGGAAAGAGATAAGGAGAGTCCTCATGGTGGCAGGTCTTCCTGGGACAGGGGGGTAGGAAAGCGCTGGAGCCGGGAACAAGATTGGGACCGAGGCAGGGAGAGAGACAGGGAAAGGGAGAGGGATCCAGAGCGGGGAAGAGAAGGAGAGCGCAGCAGAGGGAGGGATAGTGAGAAAAGCAGAGAGACAGAGGGAGAGAGACACAGGGATCAAGACTCTGAGAAAAGGAGGGAGAGGGACAAGGAGAGGGACAGAGACCGGGACAGGGAGCGAGACAGGGACAGGGAGAGAGACCGGCCTAGGGAATCTGACCGGAGAGACTATGACCGTGACAGAGTAAGAAACAGAGACAGAGAGCGAGACAGAAGACGAGATCGCTCAAGAAGCAGAGACCATGACCGGGATCGTGGAAAAGACCGGGCGAAAGACAGAGAAAGAGTCAAAGAACGGGAGAGAGAGAGGGAACGAGACCGGGATCGTGACAAAGACAGAGATCGTGACAGAGATCCGGACAAGAGAAGCAAAGAGAAGAGGTCGGACAAGAAAGAAAGTAAACGTGAGGCATCCAAGGAGAAAACTAAAAGCTCAGACAATGACAAGTAGACTTCAACTGTTTATAGACCTTTCATGTACTTAAATCTTCATCCAAGCATCACTATTAATGTGTACGAAAAGTATTTTTGTTGAATTTCATTTTCCAAATAACTAAGTGGAAAAGGCTCTAAAGGATATAACAACAATCTTTATATTCTTTGTCACCTTAATATTTGTACGTTTTTGTATTGCCTTTGGTAGAAATCCAAGTTGTTTTGGGAAAAGACATGGAGTAGTCCACCAAATCCTGACAGATTTACCCTTTTCTTGGTTGCAAAGTTTTTTGTTTTTTTTGGGGGGGGAAAAAAATGTGATTGTTCTAGATACCAATTACACTATGTAAATATGCACATATTTCTGTATATACTGATGTTTTTATCCAAACTTTTCTAAGTGGAGAAAGTAAAAGCCATATATATGAGGTGGAAAATGTAAAGGTTAAGACAGTGCTGTGGAGACGCATCCAGCAGCTTTGAACTTAAAGCTTTTTATTAACAGTGTACATTACTTAGTGTTACTAAAAATGTCCAGTTTGTCTCAGCTCAACCGATTAAACCTGTCTTCTAAAGTTTGTTGTTTATTGTTTCATTTCTTTTCCACTCTTAATTTAAACAAGGAGGTATGTCGTAATTTGCATGTATAATATTTAACAGCTTTAAGTATCAAAGTTCATGCTGAAGTTTATAGCTGCAATTTTTAAATGGATGAGTTATTATATAACCCATGCTTGAAGCTACTCTAAAACACTGGGTGCTAAAGAGTGCTAAAGCTCCAACCGAAGTTAGAAGATATCCATAATTTACGGAAAACCCTTATTTGTGATTTTATTTGTACTTTTTTAAGCCTGAAGTCTTATAATGGTTGTAAAGTACAAATTTATAATCTATGAACTGGAGACTAATATCAGCTGTCAAACTTCTAGAGCTCATACTGAATCTATTCAATCTACATAAAAGAGCTTCTAGATGATCCACCTCCAACATGTGTGCAGCACAAACCCACTACCTATTATAGCAGAGTATAGGTTAATGTTTCTGTTGGAGTTAATCTAATACAGCGAACAATTCCTCAACTCATGCTTATGGGATTTTTAGTGATTGAAAAACATGGAAGCTAAATATAAGGAAGAAAAATGATAGGAAAAAGTATGCGTGCTTTTATGTCAAACTCAATACTTGAAATTAAGTTGAATTTTGTCCTTAAAGGAATAGTACACCCAAAACATGATTAGCCTTCATTTTCTACTCACGAAGTCATTTAGTATGTTTTTAGAGCATAAACAGTAGTGTATAGGATTTCCTAAAAGCGCGTTCACGAGTCTACGGAAACCGCGGCAGACCAAACCAGACGAAAGTGCGCATTCAGCTCGGCAAAAAACTCATGCTCTTCCTCAACACTGAAGTCTTCAGACATTTTTCTTTCGTTGTTTCTTTCTTTGCACAGGTAAACAGCACATTTCTTCTACGCTTGCATTATCGGCAGAGCAGACGCTGAATGCGCACTTTCGTCTGGTTTGGTCTGCCGCGGTTTTATTTTAAGTAAAAGTAATCACAGGTTTATACTCACATTGTGTCTTCAGAGCTATGGTAAGACCACTCTGTCCAAACATCTACATTCAGTGCAAACAACAGGTCTAAGGGAACCTCTAAAAATCTGCAAATATTTACTATGGTTATGCCTCGAAAACAGCCTTTATTTTCTGTTCGGTGGACGCCTATAGACGTTAAACTCCATTATTCAATACTTTACATCCTTTTCAATTTTAAAATGCATTTCTTTAAAAGATATTACAAAATCCTTTCTTTGCTTTAAATCTTTTTTGAAATGTGGCACCAACTCTTCCATTTCTCATACAGTTCTGTTCCACCCGATGGCCTAACCAAACATTCTGGACTTTCTTTGGGCACCATACAAACTCTTCTTTGGGCTCATAGTGGTGAAAGGCAAACCTGAGAAGCTTCCTTCGTTCTTGCTTGCTTCGGACAGCGAACACAAAGTAGCTCAGGGCGCTGTCTTTGACATTGGGAAGTTCTCCTTTAACAAGGGTCTCCTCCAGGAAGAACCTAACCAGTGGATATTGGAACTTGGGGTATCCAAGGGTTCCCAGGCACTTTAGGATGCGGGTGATGCGCAAGTTGTTATGTTTGTGACTAAAAGAAAGTAGGGTCAAAAAAGGAGTCAGATTGTGGCAAAAAAAAATCTGAAATCCTTTTTTTGGTATTCAAATGGCTCACCAGTTGAGGTTCTGGAACCTTTCTCTCCAGTTGGATGCTCTCTGCACATCTCCTGTTTTCTCATCTTTTAACTCGATGCCATAAAAATCCAACATGAGCTTGTAGGACCTCAGAAGATTTTGTTTTGCTTCCTCGCTATCAAGAAACTCCTGAAGGAAAAGCAAACTCATTATTGAAAACCTATGTGAAATTTTGCTTTTTTTTTTTCAAATTGCTTATTTTAAGCATTACCTGAATTTCCTCCTTAGTTAGAGTTTTGGCTTGATAGTTCATTCCTGGTTCTTGCAGAGGAAACAACCTTTCAGATAAAGCTTTAATTACAACCGGGAACTAAAATATTTCCATAAAATCTTTGCATTGGATAGTACCTTACCACTGAATAAAGGTGTGCACACGCTCCAGTTTTTCATAGTTTCCATACCAGTACTGGTGGAATTAATTAATTCTGACACCTGATGAAAAAAGAATGAGGTGGCACACATACAGTTGTGTTCGAAATAATAGCAGTGCCTTTAGAAAAATGAGTAAATGTCAAAATTCTTCAAAGAAATTGTACTTTAATGAACACAGATACATTGGGGACACAGTACATTCTATTCCAAAGCAAAACAATTGCGCAAAGTCATCAAAACTTAAATAATAATAATATTTCAAATAAAGTAAGAAATGGCATGTTCAAAAGAATAGCAGTGATAAGTGAACCTAGCTGAGTATCCTAAACTAATATTTTGTTGCAAAACCACGGTTTCTGATGACTGCTTCACATCTGTGGTGCATGGAGTCAACCAACTTCTGGCATCGTTCCACAGGTATTGCAGCCCAGGATAATTGCACTGTATTCCACAATTCCTCAGCGTTTCTTGGTTTTGCCTCATGCACTGCACTTTTTATGTCAGCCCACAAGTTTTCAATGGGATTAAGGTCCGGGGATTGTGCTGGCCACTCCATCAGTTGAATCTTGTTCATCTGGAACCATGCGTTTGCTCGCTTGCTGGTGTGTTTGGGGTCATTATCCTGTTGAAAGGTCCACCTCAAAGGCATTTCCTCCTCAGCATATGGCAGCATGACCTCTTCCAGGATCCTGATGTACTGGAACTGATCCATGATCCCTTGTATGCGGTGAATCGGACCAACACCATAGTATGAAAAACATCCCCATATCATGATGCTTGCACCACCATGCTTAATGGTCTTCAGTGAGTACTGTGGCTTGAATTCTGTGTTTGCAGGGCATCTGACATACTGCCTGTGACCCTTAGACCCAAAAAGAACAATCTTGCTTTCATCTGTCCACAAGATATTATGCCATTTCTTTTAAGGCCAGTCAATGTGCTCTTTGGAAAATTGTAAACGCTTCTGCACATGTCTTTTTCTCAGCAGTGGGACTTTGCGGGGGCTTCTTGCTGGAAGGTTAACCTCAGTAAGACGTCTTCTGATTGTCACAGTACTCACTGTCAACTGAAGGTCTTGCTTGATCCTCTTGGATCCCACCATTGGCTGAGTCTTCGCCAGTTTGGCTATTCTTCTGTCCATTCGAGGGGTTGTCTTTCTTTTTCTTCCTCGTTTTTCAGTTTTTTGCTCCCATTTCAGGGCATTTGAGATCATTTTAGCTGAACAGCCAATGATTTTCTGCACCTCTTTGTATGTTTTCCCTTCTTTAATCAATTTTTTTATTAGGAAACGCTCATCTTCAGAACAGTGTCTTGAACGACCCATTTTCCTTGTTTTTTCAGGACAAATGCACAGCCAGCATGCCAGTTGTCTTGATCCTTAAATACGGATCACCTGTTAACACCCTTTTTTCCCAGAATACCCTCCCTAATTGATGCCCTCTCTAATTGAACTCACCACTGCTATTTTTTTGAACACACCCTTTTCAGTTAATCATTCAATTTCACAGAATCCACAGTATGCATGGCTGTCCTGTTGGGTTTGTTGGTTTTCTATACCTTTATTTTACCCCCCAGAAACTTATCTGGGGTATAGAGTTTGAAATGTTAATAAAACAAGTGATTTTCTTGCTGCTGTTGAGGCACTGCTATTATTTCGAACACAACTGTACATTAGACTTAGATTATAATATCAGTTTGTGAGTTTTCTGCAGCAGTATCAAGAAACTGCGTCCAGTAATACTTTGTTTTATTAAACCCCATTCTAAATAAAAATGTATTTTATCAGCAAAGTGGAAATTACAATCCCTATTTTTGACAAAAGTATCTTTTTACAGATTATAAAGATAGACAGATCGCTACTCAGACCCTATGGATCCACAGTATAGCACAGTGCTACGGAGTATCCAAAAGTATTTATCCCCCAAAATATGAAAAGGGTTAATTATTATTATTAGTTACATATTTAAAAATAAAAATGCAAAAACGAAATCCAAACCGATGTGAAAAGTAATTTCTTGGTCAATTACGAACGATCGTTGGTGAACCACATTTTTGGTTCAATGTCATTACTCATCCCTGAGTAATCCCTGAACATAGCCGTAGGAGGAAAATTGATAAGAATTCAAGAGACAGACAATATGAATGGAAACAAAAGAGCCCAGAAAAACTTCTTCAGATAATAAAGGGGAACTTCAGTGTCAGATCGCACCAACCATCATAGTCTGAGCCAAAGTAGACTTAATGGGAGACCACCAAGGAGGACACCATTATTGAAAACAAATGATAAAAAAAAGCCAGGGTGGAATTTTCCAAACTACATTGTGACAAGCCACAAAGGGTCATATTGAGAGATGAGACAAAAATTTAGTTTTTTCCCTACAGAGGGACAAATAAAGCAAATCCAGAAAACAACACTGTCCCTACAGTGAAACATGGAGGAAGCTGTGTTATGTCCTGCAGTTGTGTGCTTCATCTGGCACAGGGCGTCAGGCAGGGCATAATGAATCCTCAAAACTATCTATTGAGAAATATGATGTCCACTGGTGAATGTGGCGTCGGATGTGGAAGTTTACCTCAAGGTTGTTGGTTCAAACCTCTGGTGTTGTCCTTGGATAAGCAATTTGATCCACATTGCCTACTAATAGTGGTCAGAGTGCCCAGGGGGCTGGTGTATGGCAACCTCCTTTGTCTCAATGAGCTTCAGGCTTCATTTTGGCTTTTATTAATTCTAGTCATTCACCCATTCAATGTGTGAATGTAATGCAAAGCATTTTGGAGTTCAATGACTTGAAAAGGTGCTATATTAGAATAAGCTTGGTCTCAGTTCCAGGTCATGGATGCAACAGGATAATGATCCAAAACAAACAGTTAACACAGATGAATGGAAAAGAGGAAAACATTGAACTACTCAGAACCCTGACCTAAATCGTGTTTCAGCAGAAACA